GAATGTCAAATAGCTGCTCTATACATTTCAGCAACAGGGATTTGCTTAAAACTGGCCAAGAGTCAATATTAGTACTAAATCCTCTGGAATAATTATTCTGGCAATAATAAAATCCCTGACAGTCCATTGCTTTCTTTCTGCTGGGCTACTAACACCTCTATTTCCCAAAAACACTATTAGTTTTCATCTATTAAGAGTCAGGTTTGGGGGACAGCAAGTTCAGAGAGAAGGGGACCGCATCGTAAACCAAAAGAGGAAAGCAGGAACAGCAAAAATATCCTAAGGAGGTATTTCCTACAGACAGGGGAAAGCTACAAGGAGAGCATCATAAGTTACCATCATCTCCTGCTTCACTAACAGGATACAGGCATAATCTGCTCAAATGCTGTGTAAAGAAGCTAATTTTGCAGGAACTAGCAAACTTAGCAACAGAGCGTTATTCACATATACTAGACATTTAGTTACCCTTAAAATTTCCATATGTCACATATTCTATTGAAAACATTTGCACAGGGCATTATATAGGCAACACAAATATCGATTCATCTAAATTTTACATTAATAGACTTCAGAGTTAGAACTCAGCTGGGATGAACACTACAGAATATTTAGGATGATCATTACAAATTATTCACATGCAGGCAAATCCAACTGCTGCTGTCACACTCGCTCGCATATAGAAAGTTTTCTTTTCTGATAGTTTTCCCGTGCAGAACCATCCAAGATAGACTTTTAAAGAACTACAAACGCAACAGTAACAAAGAACTGACAGGAACAAATTTAACAGCTGCAGCACTGAAAGGACATGGCTACAAGCTCAGTGTATTTGGAGTAACAGTCCCATGTTTATTCAAATTACACTTTGATTCTCTTATTTTCACATGCGGATTAACTGTGAAAATTCAGGTTTCTCATTCTCTTGAGAAACATACGAGGTAGTTGCCCCTCACTTACTTCAATCACTTACTTCAACAGAATCGTCCTTGCATCCATCTCTGCATTCTCATCACCAGGAACATCAAATTTATTAGTGAGTGTGAGAGAAACCTCAGTTTTTGCTAGCATTTCCCTGTTGGGGTCATTAACATTGCCAGACCCTTCCCCTGCCAAAGCAGAAAAAGTTTATAGATTAAATCGTATTCTTTACATTCTTGATTGCTAGAGCTTTGTAATTTTTCCCCATGTAAAAGACCACAGAAAAATTCACTATTTCCTATACTGTCAAAAGGATACTTCAAAAGCCAAAACCAGCTTTTAAAAACATCATCTTGAATATGTTACAGACTTTTTCTTCACAAAACTGAGAGAATGCACTGGCCAGAAAGGCATCACAAAATCACTAGTTCGTATGCCTTAAAGACGTATGTGCATTCCACACTGTGTCTCAGCATCTCACTCCATACTGAGAAGAGTAGGTGACCTACCAAAAATACTGTATAAATAAAAATATAACCATGCCTCTACGTCTGTGTCCTAATTAGAATGCATTTTCCAAGCTAAGAGTGAAGTCCTTGTTGGCAACTGAGCTTGTAATCTTCTACTCAACAAAGTAAGCTATCCTGTCAAAAGAAAATTTTCATGCTCTAATTGTGTCTGAACTTTCATCAGAACACTCGTTAGGATGCTTCCCGTCCTGCCCCCCTTTTTTAAAGGGCTGCAGAAAGATTAAACTCTGACATATTAACCACATTAATACAATGCACACAGGAGAAATGAAATGGGGACGGAGAGTAAGTTCTAGTTAAATTCAAGGTGTAGGTTTGGTCAGATAACACTTCTTATGGTCTGTTCTTTGCCAGTGCTTGGACAAAGACGTGCCAGCAATCATTCCTTTAAAAGGTTCCAACCTTTCTCATCAAGTGACTTCAAGATAGGCATTTTGCTGTGAAAGCATCCTCTCCAAAAACTATGTCCATTCGCCATCCCCCCTGCACACTAGATTTCACACTTCAAATAGCTGCAACAGAAACCAAGGAAGGAGAGAGGCTTGTGCAATTTTCCAGTGTTTGTTATATCCTGAAGCAGTGAACTGTGCTTCAGGATTTTAGAAAACTTTCACAGATTAGTAAGGTCAGTTCCTTCCTCCCCCAGCCAGAAGAAAGAGGATACGATTCTTAACGTATAGAAAAAACTCTGAAAGAAGGAAAAAAAGTTATTTCTCCATATGCCAAAGATCCTTATAGGGACACACATCATTTAATACGCCTATTACCACACTCTGAAAGGACTGCACACAGATCTCACGAATGGAGGATCGATCTTTGAAAACAAGCTGGGACGGACACATACACACACAGAGAAATGGCTCCAGCATAACAGAACGGAGAACACATGTCAAAATATCTGTCTGTCTTCTACGAACAGTGAAGGGGTGAGGTGAGGCGGGTGGGGAGGAAAAGAGAAAGAACCTCTGTTTTTTTCAAGATAGCAAATTCTGCAGTCAGAAAGAATATATCGGAACAAAACTGTTGCTGCTTTTTCGAGTGCATCCTCCCAAACAACCTATGATGATTCTTTAGTTTCTTTACTGCACTTCAAATCATTTAAGGTAATATCACATATTTCTTAAGTACAATAAACTATATCACCTATTAAAGACTCAATTGTAGGAACCTCTCCAAGATCATCCAGCAGCTCGTGAATTGGATCGTTGTGCTCAGGAGCAATTGCATCTTGATGGTCTAAGAGCAACTAAACAAAGAGAAAGAACATTTATGTTGTTAATCATACATCCTTTTGTAGACAGCAAAATTACATTACTTTGAGCTGGTATCTTTCAGAAAAAGGTCTTACTTCACTGAACTCCAAAGCAGCAAGATCAATATCCAAAGCAGTGCCATTATCACATCCTCAAATATTTTCAAAAGAAACTTAGACAAGCCACAAGGGAATTTTATATACTGAGAAGCTCTTGCACACTACAATCAAAAGATAACTTCCAGCCTTGTATTTGGTAACTTTGCACTTCAGCCAGAAGCAGCATTTTCTTTGTAAGGTAAGCTTATAAGGAGCAGCTGTGACTGATGTATACTTACAGTGTGCGTATTGATGATTTCACCAATAGAAATATAAATAACTGGTTTAGTGAGAGTCACCAAGTCAGAATATTCATCGATATTAAATTTATCCTGCAATTCAGGAACCTCACAGGCAGCCTGAAAAAAACGTCTTCAGAAAAGAGGAGGAGAGAAGAATCAGTATGACCAAGAGTCACGTGATGTATCAAGAGCATTAACTCCCCATGACAATCCCAAGCATGGTCTCTCTTCTTTAAACTATGCTTCATTACTGCATAAAGCAGTTTGTCAGCTTTAGTTTAACACATCTCAAGTAACCTCGTGAGTTCAATTATTGATATTGACCATGTTGACATTGGTTCATTTTCAGCATTCACAAGACTGGTCTATGGCTCCAGCAACCTCATTCACACATACTCCTGCCTCCTGCTGTAACATCCCTTGCTCCTTTCGTGGCTTTCTTTCCAGCTCCAATCTCTGGCTTGCTTTCTTCCAAAACATGAGAGGTGTAAGATGACGATTCGTGAATGAAAGCTTACTTCAACTATATGAACAGCTAAGTGTCAACCTGTTTTATTCCTGAGCACCACTGGGTTTTCATGTGGAGCCAGGGTTCACATGGGACAGAAGAATGTACATCCATTCTAGTTGTCCATGTCCAAAGTATTACAGTAAACATGTGCAAAAGCAACCTTTATTCTGGAAACTCCTAAGTCAAAATACTTGACTTTGCAATCTCACTATCATTACGTGTATCATTCACAAATTGCAGGTACACGTTTTATTTGCCATTGTCACTGATGCTTATGGCAGTCTGGAGTGCAATCTCTTATTTTCGATAGACCGCATACTTGACAGAGAGAGAATTTATCATATTTAAAATTTATTATCCCTTTTTACTTGCAATGTTACCCTCTGTCCAATTTAATCAGCTACGGTCTTCTACCTGAATTTCTGGTATGACTGCGACAGGTATTCATTAATGATGCTTAGGTGCGCATTATCTCCCATGAACATCTTATTGGATGCAGCATGCTGCAACATCTTTGCAATGGAACCGAGGTTTCTGCGTTGATCCGTCGTCAGCTGACCTCCAGCTGAAAGATCAATGATGTCAAATGCATCTGGTGCGACAATGGCTGGATTCATGTAGCGATAATAGAGTAAGTTGCCAACGATCTGCGAAAAGTTGAGTAGAGGAGAAACACATCAAGAAACAATATAGGACCCAACTGAATTTTACTGAAACTACTCTGACTGTGGTTTGATAAACTATTTTCTTGCAAGACAGAGGCCCCTTCCAAGATAAAGGTTCTGCTGCGCTGCTGTATACAAGCATATACTATCCCAAAGAATCTATAGTGTTAAAAAAAATAATATTAGAACGCAATAGGATGGTCAACACAAAGAGGGAAGACTGTGCACTACTAGTCACAGGACAACACAGCAGTAGATAATTCCTATGCATAAAGATTTAAAACTTTGACTTATAAAAGCATACAAACAGGAGATATTACAAGTTACCAATGGACTACTCATATGAGCATGAGACAATCAGGAGAATTATATTTAATTGAGTTAGTCTAACAGAGGGCAGAATGATTATGGTATAGGGGAACCCAGTAATGCAGTTTCAATATTAAACAAGAGCTAATTCTTAGAGAAGCGTGCAGAATCAGCCACCATCTCCAACAAAGCAAAAACAGAAAGGAAACATGTAACACCAAGGAGCTAAACTGAGGACACTACTTTCCATTCCTTCTCCAAAGCCCTCTTCTCTTTCAGAATAATCCTTCAATAATCCAGGAACATTTTTCAGGCACAGACCCCCAGTTAAAAGTTAGTAACCGAGAAACCATTTAATCCAAAGGTAAGAAAATCAGAAATACAGGAGACAAATGGCATTTAAAATCCAATTTACCTACTCAAATGTGAGCAGCAACAAACTTCAAGGAACCAAAAATAAAGATGTCACATTATCCATACGCTCACAAATACAGTTCTAAATCTGTATTTGATATTTTGCCAAAAGTAATTCCAGCAATGAAAAGGAATTAACCCAACATGCTGATATAAAGCAATGGTTCTCCCACCGCATGCTCTAGCATTTTCTGGAAAATTAGCAGAGGGCCAGGTCACTGAATCTTGGCTTCACCTGCTTGCCACGTGACTTAAATGCACAAAAGAAACTGGAGTCTGAACAAATAGTTGAAAACAGAGAGAAGAAAAATCTAGCCATTGCTGAGCAGCCCTAGAAATTATTAACCGCTTTCAGCAAGGTCATGTTTTCAACAACTGTTTCATGCAAGCCCCTGCTGTACCCTCACAGATTATGTTGTGGGATGACAACAGCCAAAGCTGTTTATTACCAGTAATAAGAAAATACATCTGTGAAAGAAATTGTTATTAATAACTTTCAAAATTGCTGGGGGAGAACAGTATGTTATATGGGTAGCTTTGGTTGCTAAAAAAAAAAAATAATCTACGAGTAGTCATTGCACACAACTGCAGTTTTGACTTTCATGTGGACAGCTACACTGTTTCCATAAGGATTAACAAAAACTGCAGTTTTCCACCTAGATTTACAGATGGAAGAAATTAATTCACCTGCATAGAAAGAATCGATGTCTCAGAATGGGAAAGCACAGAACTAGAAGAGAGAAGAAAACGGCATTCAGATTGGCAATTATTTGTAATGAAGCAGATGCAGAGAAGTTTAAAGAGACGTTGTCAAGTATTCTAAGATCTAAATTTTATTTTATTAACAAGCAAACCATTCATGGATATAAAGGCCTTCACAATTACCAAAAGCCATAAAACCTAAGAAATTTCAACAAAAACTCCAAAGCTATACTCATCTGAGCATACCTACTATTAGCATCCTTTTAAAAGTTCTCCAAACCTACTGAAATGCAAAATACAAAACTGACTAGACATCATGGAAAGTGACACTCTATATATTGCTGTCAAAATATCCTAGAGTGTTACAAATAGGGGAATTAGGAATACCAGAATTTTGCACACACGCTTTTTAACTTGACATTGTCTCTTTAAGAAAGGAGCAACTGGCTGTGATCATATCAGCAAAACCAAGATTTATTTTCTAGGAGCAAGAGTACCCCAAGTCAAGAAACCTAAAGGACCAAATGGCCAAGATACTAAAAGCAGAGCAGAAGCAACAGGATAACTCTTTCTCAACAATGTGTTATATCTCAGGTGATGTACACGAAGCTAACCATCAAAAGTCCAATGTGAAACATTTTCTATCCATATAAATAAATAAATCAACTTTGTATACGTTTGCATGCTCTCCTCTCCACACACACATCCAACAAAGCAGAAGAATGAGAACTGCTTGCCACAGCTAATTTCTCCGACAAGCATTCACAAAGGTGTTCAGATCCTCACCTTCAGAAGCTCATCCTCGCCAGCATCAGGAAACTTCTCATGCAGGGAGTCTTTTAGTACCTTGGCAATGAAACGCATTCCATAACTTTGAGATAAAAAAAAAGGGCAAATAAGACTGCTGCAAGCACAAATCCACTAACGACTTCTCAGGGATAGTACTGTGGTACACCAGACTCACGGGATTTTGTCCACTGAGCTGACAATAGCGGACAGGAACTTGTCTGTCACTGTCCTCATGTTTCTGATTGAGGCATCCAGGCGCGTCCTCACCTCTTCATGATTTAGAGCTTGTTCAGGTGTAACGTCGTACGGCAGTTTGCTATTTGAAAAAGTCAAACGTGAAGGTGAGTATTCCTCAGGCTAGCACATTTCAAGAATTTCTAGCTTGACATGGCAACAAGCTTATATTCACTTGGCTGCCAAGAGCTGTGCATTGCCTTCAATTCACTTTTTAGGCACTGGAAGAGCTGAAGACTTCTTGCTTTTACTTTCCTTACTCTCCCTTGCAATGGCCACTGTGAGAAAAGGCCCAGATACCTCAAAACGGTATCTTTTTTACAGCACGCACATACGCACACTAGGCAAAAAAGTGCCATCTGTGACAGGTAGCGGTACTTCAGGCTGCAAATAAACTGGTGAAGAAGCAAGCTACACATCTGAACATTAAGCTGATAAGAGCCTAGATATAAGCCAGAAGGTAGAGCAGTATCCATACAATTGATGTAATGTGCTATTGGTGGGAAGAAGTGCCTAACGAGTAGTTGTGTTTTCTCCCTCAGCTGAAATTACTGTACAGTATTCCAGTGAAGACAGATGAAGCAGATAATTCTTAAAAGCATCTCCTAAACTCATGTAAAGAGAAGGACCTGAATGCACATCTTTGCCTGCAATTTCAACACGTCCAGAATTTTGAACCAGGCCTACAGCAAGACACACAACTGCAGATTGCTTTGAATGGGGAAACTCACTCATCTGCATGGTCTTTTTTTTTTTTTTTCTTAAAGTATGTTAAAAAAAAACAAACAGTGCCATAGAAACCTTAAGCAAATCAACATGCACTGGAAGAAAAAGAAACCAGAATGACACAAAACCATCTAGCACAATCCAATTGTCATTAGTGGCTGATATTAATTAGAAAGATGTTAGGACTAAAAAAACTGCAACGCCGTGCTTCTCCTCCAGTTTGGTCGGCTTGCAAATAGTACCTAAGTTTGCACAGGTTATATATGACATGAACAGAAACCAACAGAGAACCAATTCCCAATCTTACCATGATTTCTTTTAGGTCAGAGGACATCTCATAGCTAATTACCAAGTCAACATAGGCAAAAACTTAAGAGCATTTCTTCTTCCATCTCCTAATGAGATTCCCTTTCCACACCCTCAGCACCATCACCAGAACATGATCTTTAGAACTGTTGGATAAAAGCTGTCTTGAGGAGGTGGAAAAGGACGGTATCAGTTGGACAGATGTATGCAGTGAACCCAGGGAGGGTTTGGAATGTTAACCAAGCGGTGCAAAGCAGGAAAGCAATCTTTAGAAAAAAACAGTATTAACAGTTCCCATACCTGGCCTCACCAGTTTGAGACTCCATCTGGTTAACCCAAGACTTGTAAATATCCACCGGATCAGTTTTGATATTGAGTGATTTGTCATCGATGATTTCCTTCACAACTGGTGCCAGGATCTGCCTCAGGGCATTCTGACCGCGGGCACCACGGTTGAAACTCACCACCATTTTAATAACAGTAGGATTCCCAGTCACAATTTCATGTATTTGGTCTACTTTTGATCTGAAGAAGAAAGAAACTATATGAAATATAAGGTACACATAATTCTGTCAGCTTTAGATACATTTCTTGGCATAAAACAAACTGCTAAAGAGCATCACCCTCAAAAAACAGATCATGGATTTGTACTGAAATCTCGATACAGCAATAAACTTCAACATTACGTAAGAACATAAGTGGAACGCTTCTCAAGACAGATGAGGCAAGAAACTTATGACCTCTGTTTGGGAATTCCAGAGCAACTTGCCAGTAGTCATCTTGACAACAATTAATGCAAATCCAACTGTACACTCTATTTGAGAGCACAATTCAAAAATACAAAGGAAACAGAGCATGTTTTATGTAGAGAAGAAAAAGAACAGTAGGTTTCTTCCAGTATGTAAAAGAAGAAAACCAGCAATCGACAACAAAAATGACTCCCAGTATACAGCTATGTGAAATACAGTACCAGAGAATGAAGCGTTTACGTTTCCCTGGATTACCATTCCAAGCACAAATTTAAGGGGAAAAAAAATCTCCTTTAGACGTTAATTGTTTCAGGGCATATACCATCTTCATGCTTAAAAAGTATTCCAAATAATGCTAAAAGAGTAGTTCCTCAAAAATTTTATTGTGCATTCTTCTTCATAGAATCATAGAACGGTTTTGGTTGAAAGGGGCCTTCAAGATCATCTAGATCCAACTGTCCTGCCACAGGCAGGAACACCTTCCACTACATCAGATTTCTCAAAGCCTCGTTTCCATATATCCATTTTCATTAGGCCATCCACAACTCTGGGCAATCCGTTCCAGTGTTTCACCACTCTCATTGTAAAAAATTTCTTTATCGGATCTAATCTAAATTTACCCTCTTTCAATTTAAAGCCATTACCCCTTGTCTTATCACTATCTGCCCTTGTAAAAAGTCCCTCTCCAGCTTTCCTGTAGGCCCCCTTTAGGTACTGGAAGGTTGCAATAAGATCACCCCAGAGCCTTCTCTTCTCCAGGCTGAACAGCCCCAACTTTCTCAGTCTGTCTTCATAGAAGTGCTTCAGCCCTCGCATCATCTTCGTGCCTCCTTTGGATCTGCTCCAACAGCTCCGTGTCCTTCTTGTGTTGAGGACCCCAGAGCTAAACACAGTATTCTAGGTGGGATCTCACAGGAATGGAGATTCTGAGATCTCTCTCTCAGGAGACAGGCTGAGAGAGTTGGAGTTGTTCAGTCTGGAGAAGAGAAGGCTCCGGGGAGACCTTCCAGAACCTAAAGGGTGCCTATAAGAAAGCTGGAGAGGGACTTTTTGCAAGGGTGTGTAGTGACAAGACATGGGGCAACGGCTTTAAACTGAAAGGGGAGATTTCGATGAGATCTAAGGAAGAAATTTTTCCCTCTGAGGGTGACTTTGAACATGTTACCCAGAGGAGTTGTGGATGCCCCATCCTGGCAGTGTTCAAGGCCAGGTTGGATGAGGCTTTGAGCAACCTGGTGTAGTGGAAGGTGTCCCTGCCCATGGCAGGGGGGGCTGGAACTAGATGATCTTGAAGGTCCCTTCCAACCCAAACCATTCTATGATTCTATGATTCTCTCAGTATCAGCTTTTGGAAATCCACAGAGCATAGTGTTAGCTCTCTCCCTGGCTTACATAGTCCAAGTTTGCAGTTTGTTGAAAGTGTCTGTAACCAGACACTGGAGAATTGAGATTAGGCTGAATTTTAGGATGACTTTGCATCAGATTAAAAGTAGCTGCCATGTTGAGCAGTGAAATTTTGACTGAAGTAAAAAGCCCTCATCCTCAATGGACATACTCGACTCTTCCTTTATAGAATCATAGAAT